ATAAAAGTATTTTTTTTATTTTTTAAGACGAGTTATTTTCAGCACCAAATACACCACACAACACCAAAAGTACAATGTACCATATTCACCCACAACTTGTTTCATCCAGCCCCTTACTTTAAAGTACAAAACTATTACTTAGTAAGTAAAACGTTTTTCATTATATGCACCACACATCTCACATAGTAGGTAGTCAGAAAATGTTAACTAATACACAATTCAATAGGGTTTTGATCCACTTGGCCTTTCTACTTCAATGGTACATACATATGTAGCTTCAAACACAAAATTATTCATTTCTCAAAATATTAACATATACATGGCATAGGAAAGTGCTGTGCATAAAGTGTACTAACCTGAATTTGTTCAATTAATCAATAAGGGCAACAGAGCATGTTGTCTTGTGTCAAGAGAGCTCTCTTAGCAAAAGCTGTGATCTAGAATAAAAGAAAAATAGACAAAATTCAGCCCTACTCAAATTTTAGCCTTATTATATATAGTTTTTTTTAATCTCTCTTTTTTCTTTCCTTATGCAGCCAGTCATGACATGTAAAATGTTTGTACATTCAATTTTTTTGCAAGCAGTGCTTTTCATATCTCAATAAGGAATGAATGGACTTTCATTTTGCAAATTACAGTTAAATGCAGTAACATTCAGTATTTTAATCTGTTTCATAGTTCACCTTAAAATAAGTCGACACCTATAAAACTTTGCTTTGTGAACATGAAATTCTTTCATTTTGTCTACTTTTTAAAATATAGAGCAATCTGAAAGGTCTCTCCTTTCAAATTAATGTTAAAATTTTTCTATATCCCCACACTCCGATTAGCTGTGCACCCTAATTTCTGACTATCTTCTACACAAACTTCCATTCAAGTCAATTTAATTTGCTTGCTTTCCACAGAGAACTTTATCATTCTCAGCTGTCACCCTATAACACACCATTCCTTCTTTTTAGAACAGAGACTTTTTCTCCCTTATCCTCTTTGTCAATCAATGCACATCAGTCAACTTTCTCAAAATCCAGCCCCTCCCTTCCTTCCCGAGCTGATATAATCATTCTGTGTACTCCATTAATCCTTGCTGGAATATTTTGCTACATTATATATGTATAATCTCATTTGATTAGTGGACCTATCTCCTATTTTTTGTCTTGCTACCTCTCCATCATATAAGTATAATACCCATCAACAAATTTTATCTAGGCCTCTCATATTTACTATGACCTAGCCAAATAGTATTATTAAACTGAAGCATTTGTAACTTAAGATAAATTTTTCTCACAAACCATTTTCAGTGTTCAAGGCCAGGAATATTATTTTTTAATTGTGCTTAGTTTGGTAACCTGAAATGGACTATAAACATATTACACTAGTTAAATTTTTACATTTATACCATCATAAAAGAACAGTTATCAAATTAATTTACATCTTAAGGTTTCTACTTCACTTTCATTTGAAATAACCTTGTAGCTCAGCATTGGCCATTGATAAGCTATATTTGAATTTCAGAAATATACAATTTAAAACTTTTCTATTTTGCCCTGGCTGGTGTGGCTCAGTTGGTTGAGCTTTGTCTCCTGTACCGTGAGGTGGCAGGTTCAATTCCAGGGTCAGAGCATAATCTGGGTTGTGAGCTCAATCACCAGTAGGTGGCATGTACGAGGCAGCCAATGGATGGCATCAATGTTTCCCTCTCTCCCTCTCCCTACCTCTCACTCTCTCTAAAATCAATAAAAACGTATTTTTTTAAATGTTTATTATTTCATAACAGGAAATAAAAATTTAACCAACAACCCCATAAAGGGAGACTTCCTGCCAAAGCAAACATTATTATATAAAATAATTTGAAAAATAAATAGCACATTATTTTATTCATTGTTTTTACTTCCACTGATATATAGGACTTAATAAATGTTTTTATATGCACTGTAAAAATGGGAAAAAATAAAACAAGCCATCCTCAATTAATATAGCCAAAGAGATATTAAAATATATTATCATACCTATTTACTATGAGCCTTTTAAAACATAATTCTATGCTGTAACTCAGTAAAATGATAACTATTATGCATGTCAAATTGGAAAGAACTGCAAGGAATTAAGAATCTAATGGTATGCTACTGAGTGTTTAATGTGTACCAAATGCCTTAACTAAGCACTTTACATGGGCTACTATTAAATCATTTAAAATCTCATAACCATCCTGTAATTATCATCTCCATGTTACAGTTGAGGAAACAAATTCAGTTAATAAATGGTGGAGTTGGAATTTGAACTCAGATCTGACTCCAAAACCCTAGTTTTTTCCAATCTACCAAGTTACCATCTAGATTAAAAGTTAATTTTCAATCATTCATTAATAAAATATCAGTAATAGTACCATTCAGTCCCAGTTACACAAAAATGTAAATTATCTGCAGTACATAGCCTAACCCGAATCTCAGATACGTAATCCCTGATGGCTACAAGCTAGGAAATGTGCTGAACATTTCATGCTTGGCATCTGACAAGCAATGAGGATCTCATATATAAAAATAGGCAGGCCACCATGAATGAACAGGTGATTCCAAAACCTATTCAGAATTCAGAATGCACTTTCCTTTTATACAAAAGCAATGCTAAAAATGGTAATTCTGTTCCCAGATCAGCCCACATTTAAATAGTAATTCATCAACTATATCTAGCTACCATTTTTAAATACAGGAAAGTGTGTGTGTGTGTGTGTGTGCGCGCGCAGGCGCCCATGTGTGGGGGTGGGGGAAGGTAGTAATATTCTGAGTTCCAACCTGAGATCTCAAAAATATTATTGACTCCTTGTTTGTCAGTGAGAGCAGAGATGTCCCTGACACCCATGGTAGCATTGCAGCCTTGCAGAGAAGCAGGTTTTCAGCAAACGTAAGATTAATTAATAGTACTTGTTGGGAAATCTGATCACATAAGAGAAAGCATTCCTCTACATAGGAATCACTTACTGCCTCAGCAAATTCTATTCTATAGAGCCCTTAAATCAAAGGCTATTCAATAACAAAATAGCAGGTGAGGAGAGTATTCTATGAAAGTATACTAAGTCATAAATAAAAGAAAAAATTTTAGAATATCACTACTTTGCAATCCCCAGTGAATTATTGGTTCTAGGCATTAAATATCGATAATTCTTAATCTCTCTCTCTCTCTCTCTCTCTCTCTCTCTCTCTCTCTCTCTCTCTCTCTCTCTCTCTCTCTCTCTCTCTCTCTCTCTCTCTCTCTCTCTCTCACACACACACACACCAAAAAAAAAAAAAAACAAAAAAAAAAACACCTCAATGCAGATATCAAATGCCTCCACACAATACAATCTATATACGGTCCTGACAAAAAAATCACACCTGATTCTGATCAAGCCTCTGGATCCTCAGGAAAATCTGCAGGACACACAGAGAATAGAGCGACACGCTGAATTACACCATTAGTATGCAATCAGCAGAATCCAAATTGTAAGAAGCTCGACAAGTCAAATAGTCCAGGGCTCAATAGCTAAACTATAGGGAAAAGAACGAGATGAGAAGGGGGGACTTACAGATTAAAAGGCAGTTATGATTGGGATGAGTACATGGAAAGCTGTTGGGGCAGCTGGCAAAGAAGTTCTGCTTCTTGACCTGGATGGTTGTAATAATTGTACTCACTTTATAATACATTAAATACATTTGTTTTGTGTGGTTTTCTAAATATGTGCTTTATTTTACAATAAAATGTATTGTTTTTTAAAAAAGAGAGAGAATTCTGAGTCTAACAGAAATAGTTGAAATTCCAGCTCTATTGCATTCTTGTGTGATCCTAGGCAAGACATCTAATACCTCTATGCTTCAGCTTTCTCATGTGTAAGATAGGGAAAATAATATCTAGCCATAATTATGAGCAAAGTATAGTTAAAAATGTTTAGCAAGGTGACCACTGGACAATATTATTTCAATAAATGACAATTATTATCTATTCAAAAATGTGAAGTTGTACAGGGTGACCACTCAAATTCTTTGTACAAAATGATTATAGTACTAATTCTTTTAATGTAAAAGATTTTTGGCATTATCAGTCACTCTGCATGTAAATCCTAAAAGTTAAAAGATCTAACAGGAAAAACATCAGGATGTACTAACATAATATTATTTAGACAATAGTCAGACCAAATCCTTAAAAAGCAGACACATATATACGTCTTTGGTTTTACTTTTTTAAATTAACATACAGTAAAATTGACTTAGGGGGGAAGAGGAGGTATACAGTTCTATGGATTTCAACACATGTATAAACTTGTGTAACCACCACCATACTCAGGATACAGAATAGTTACATCACACCAAAAAACTCCCTCATGCTATCTCTATAGCCCACCCTCTCCCCACTCATAACTTCTGAACCAGTGATCTGTTCTTCAACACTATGGGTTTATATTTTCAAAAATGTCATATAAATGGAATCAATGAGTTTTGACAATTAGAATAGAGCTGCTATAAACATTCAGGTACTAGTTTCTGAGGTAACACAGTCCCATTTTTCTTGAGCAAATACCTACAGGTGGGATTTCTGGGTTTTATACTAACTATGATTAACTTTATAAGACACTACCAAACTGTTATCCAAAGTAGCTGTACAATTTTGCATTCCCATCAGCAACGTGTAAGGGTTTCAGTTGCTTCATTTCCTTGCCAGTTTGGTATTGTCAAAGTTTTTTGTTTGATTGTTTTTGTTGTGCTATTCTAATAGGTACATAGTGGTATCTCTTTGTGGTTTTAATTGGCATTTCCCTACTGGCTAATGATGCTAATATACTCGGGATTTTTTTTCTAATGTATTTAATTCAACTTGTTAAAGGACTATGTTTAGTATTTTAGCACTCGCCCTATTAATGGAATGAAATAGTTTAATAATCAAAACTAAATATGATATCTTTTCAGAATCATTTATAACACTGAAGATTTCAAACTGGCTTCACAAGCAATAACAAAGTTTATGCAAACATTTTCAACTCATTGGGTATAAAATGTATTCAAATAAATTCAACTTGCATTAAATTGAGTTTTTGTAGCTTTTTAATTAATAAAATTTCAGGAAATTAAATAGCTTCTTTTTCAACTTCCACAAAATAACCTAAGCATAATATTATCAATCAACATTTACTGAGTGCTTGTTTTGTGCTAGGCAATATGCTAGAGCTTAACTATACAAATATTACTAAGTCAAATAACCTATTCTCCAACAGTTTATATTATTATATTTTTCATAATTTTAAAAAATTAACTACTTTCTCATGTTTTTAAATAGCCTTTCTTTTAGAACAGTTTTACATTGTTCCAATATACTGCCCTCTCATCAGTTTCCCTTCCTATTAACATCTTAGATTAATATGGTATATTTGTTAAGATTAACAAACCAATATTAGTTGGTCCGACGGTTGTGG